CAACTAGTCCAACTAATTAGAGGTTTGAATAAAACCCATCTAAAAAAAACTTAATTATATTAATATGTTCACTAACTAGTTATTTTTTGACAATTAAAAGAGAGAACATAGATTTTTTTTTAAATAAATCTTATGTGGGAATAAAAGTTACTATTTAGAATTCTATTTATTGTTTTTTAATATTTACCCCCACGAAACAATCTTTGTGTTAGATTTAGTGGTTTAAATTTTAAATTCTAATTTTTTTATTTCCATTTTCAATTTCTAAAGCACCATCAAGAAACTTCCACACCTTTTTGCAAGAGTAAAGGTTAGAATAAAAATTTTGGATGTAGCCTCTCTTGCCTTCCCTTTTTTAAGTATTTGTGATTACTCATAAATAATATCATCTTTTAACTTTATACAATGTCCATTTTCATGGTATGGATTCATTAGTTGAATGAGTTAGTTTTTAATTATTTATTTACTTTTTGTAACAGTGACATAATACAAGTTAGAATGTTTCTTCTCAATCATAGTTTTTATGCTTTTGTTAAAAGTGTAAATAACTATCCTTTAATGTTCTATCATGCTAAAGAATAATTATAAAAAGTAATTTTATAAACTAATAGCTTGACCCACATAGTGGAAAAGCAATTTTTTTCTTTTAAAATTTACAAATACTTTTTAAATCCTAATTAGATATAAAAATTAATCTCCATGATTATTTTTTTTCTTAACTATCATATGGTATATTGATAATTTAAATATGGTTGAATAAGTATTTTGTTTTTAGTTTCCATATCTTACTTTGTTTAACCCTTTTTTCAAGTAGTTTTAAATTCTCAAAATATAAAAATAAAAATAAAAGCAAATATAGATTTTAAAAATGTTTTGGAATAGTTAGTATACAACAAATTCATTATGAGAAAGTAAGCTTATTCTTTGAAGATAAAATTAAAATTAAGATGGAGTTATTATATGGGTACTTAACCGTTTAAAAAATATTTTGAAGAAAATAAAGTATAAAAGATAACAAACAAACTTAATTTGTAAGAAAAAAAAAATCAAAGTCATAGTAGTTCAATTTGTTCAGATTTATTTATGATAAAGAATTTAAAAACGCTTTGTCAAGTATGTATATTACTTTGAGTAATGTGTTTAATCTATTAATAATTGTTAATGAATTATTTAACGAGTTGATGGTAACATAAGGGTATTGGAATCTTTTAAGAATGCGTTCTTGAAGTGAATTGTTTTTTTTAACACCTTTAAAAGGAAACGAACCAAATGTTAGTCCTTTGTATCTCTTCTTAGGAATTTTCAAATTATTTAGTTTACTGAATAACATTTAAGTACAATTGATCTTCCAAAATCGTCTGCTATCTTAAAAATCAATTCAAAGTGGTTTTAAAATTTCTTAAAATTAATTTTTTAATTTGTTAACCATGATTAATGGAAATGGAAAGGGAAGTTATTGTGATATTGGTAAAAATGATTTTGGCTTTTGGCATGATCAAAATCACTCCATACAAAAGGATTTGACTCATACCTCATGTTGTCATTAAATTCTTCCAAGTTAATCACTGGAATATTTTTCCAACATTAATTGTTGAATTTAATAGGCATATTGTGTATATGACTTTTTTCTTTGAAGTTGAAGGTTTAAATCTACACATTTTCACATTTGTTGTCCTAAAAAAATTAAAGCATTAAAAACAAAGAAAATATAAAGATGGTATAATATGACTATTTCTCTTTAGGTTGGAGGTTCAATCTACGTCTGTGTACCTACAACTTCTTTATTAAAGATATATAAATTAATCTGTTAAGTTATGTTCAGGTTGATAAAAATATACAAAATGAATTTAAAATATCAACAAATTAATATCAATCCATCAATCAACCGAGCGTGGAATATGGGAAAAAAGTTAAGAGATTACGTAAATTTTCCTAAAATTTTTTGAACAAATGCACCTGACGAATAACCAAATCAATCTAACTCACATTTTTTTTCTTAAACTTAAATTTGATTAAGTCTATCATCTAACTATTAGAACCAAAATAACTAGATTGAGGTCTAATCAAATCTAACTAAAGTTATAAACAATCCTATTGATTTGATATTTTTTTTACGTGGATATTATTTTGAAGACACGGATTTAAAATTAAAAAAAAAACATATTTTCTCATATCTCAAACTTCTATGATATGCTTAGTAATAACACTTTTTTTTATATATATATTTAGATTTTGGGCAGCAAGATTAGGTATGTTGATGAAATTGTAGAGTTGAATAAATGGGGAGAAGTGGGTCTGAGACTTGTTAATTGACACTGCGAATAGAAACTTGGGCGGCATTGCCCAAAATCTTGTCTTCCATTGATGATGCCTCGTCTCTAAGCCACCACAAATGGAATATATATGCCGCCATTGACTTGACTTCGCCGGAATTTGGTATCTTATCTCTCAAACCTAAATTCCCCCATGTAATCACTCCGCCGTAACTTTTTCCTTTCGTTTCATTTCTCTTCTTTCTTGTTGGTTAATTCCAGATGGCCCTCAAGCTCCGGCTCTGCTTCCTCAATCATGTCGTCACGTGGTCTCTCATCAATTTCTTCCTTCCGGTCAACATGTCGTCCCTCGTCGCCGCCCAGGACCCCGGAGGAACCCCACCCAGCCCGCCGGACATGTACCCCTTCAGGCAGACCATCAGCAAACGAATGGCCATCGTTTTAATCGTCCTGGTTTGCTTCTTCATCGTCCTCGCCGTCCTCTCCGTCTACACGCGCCAGTGCACCGATCAGCGCTTCGGCGGCCGCCTCGTCCTCTCCGGTCCCGGAGTACAGAACAACAGCCGATCCAGGAGGGCGGCGCGTGGGCTCGACGCGGCGGTCATCGCCACGTTCCCCACCTTCGTGTACTCCAACGTGAAGGGCGTCAAAATCGGGAAGGGGTCGCTGGAGTGCGCGGTTTGCTTGTCGGAATTCGAAGACGAGGACACCCTCCGACTGTTGCCGAAATGCAGCCACGTGTTCCACGCCGATTGCATCGACGCGTGGTTGGTGTCTCACTCGACCTGCCCTGTTTGTCGCGCCAGTCTGGTCCCCAAACCGGGGGACGTGTCGTTCGCCGCTCTCCTCAATTCGGAATCGAATGAGGGAAATCGCGTCGGTGGATCGGGAAATGGGGATGTCATTCTTGGAATTCCGGAGGAGAATCGGAATCAGGATCAGGATCAGAATCAGAATCGAGGTTTATTAAGTCCGAATCAGAACGTTCCGTTGCGATCCCGATCTTCGGGATGGCGATTGAGCGGATTGTTCCCACGATCCCAATCGACGGGGCACTACGAGCGGTTTACACTGAGGTTGCCGGAGGAGGTACGGAGCGAGCTGGTGAATTCGAATTTGAATCGTGCGAGGAGCTGCGTGGCGTTGCCGAGGATGCAGAGTTCGAGGCAGGGGTACAGGGGTGAGAATGGAAAGAGCCTGTTCGTGAGTAGCCGGAGCCGGAGCCGGAGCGGGGGGTCGGAGAGGCGGACGTTGTTTCCGACGACGGCGTTTTTTAGAAGGGAGGATGGGACTGAGAACGGAGACGCCGGTGGACGGCCGTTCAATCGGTTGCGGGATGCTGAAGCTGAAGCTGATGGCGATGGTCAAAGTCAACGATAACGTAGGCGGCTGTGCGTATGTCTGGCTTTTTTTTTAGAAAAGGAAAAAGAGAGAGAAAAATAGGTAATGATTGAATGTCAATTTTTTATTGGGAAAACGGTCAAAATTCATAGGTTGAGTGATTGATCCCATTTGATTGGCGCATGGCACAGGCATATTCCATATACTGGACGGATTCGCTTTTCTTTTTTTCTTTTTTATTTTTTGGGGAGGTGGAAAAAGGTATTTACATGATGTATATATGAGTGGTTATTTGTTCAAAATTACATGTAAAGAAACCAGAGCTTTTAGAATATTAAATCATGGAAAATAATAAGGAATCCCAACAAATGCCTGTATAAATTTTTGTAAAAAAATGTAGGGATGTCTTACTATTTAATTATTCTCATATTAGCTCAAACAAATCACCTTGAAATTTAAAACGGGACTTTACTTTTTATAACTATTTTTCTATATTCGATTATGAATTTAGTAAAAGAAAAAACCTACATAGTTTTCTCATTATTTTTAAAAGCAACTTTATCTGTAAAGGAATACAAAATCATGACTTGAAGTCATCGATTAATCAATTTTTGGTTAAAGTAAAATTTCAATCCCAAAACATTTAAGTTTCTATGGATACAGGTCTTTGAACTTTAATAAATGTGTAGTGATTTCTTGGACTTTTAATTTTGTGATGGATATTTATGAGATACTTTAAAGTTCAAGATGTTTTTAGATAAAATTGAAACTGAAACTTTATAAATTTATTAGGTACATCTATTGAATTTAAAAGCTAATTACATACTTATTGAAAGTTGAAAGAGATGTAAATACGTTTTTAAAGTTCAAGCATCAAACTTATCTTTTAAAACAAGGGAACAATATAGCATGCAAATTGGCCACTTTATAAATGTTAATTTTAGGGGGAAAATGAATTTTTATCCTTAAATTTGTCCCGTTATACCATTTTTCAATCTTACTTTCAATTTCATCAAATAAGACCTTAAACTTAGAAGTTGTTTAATTTTATCCTTTATTAAACTTCGGCAAATTTATCCATTAATTTTAACACAAAAAAAAGTCAAAGACATAACTCAGCAGTGATTGACATATATCTCAAACCAAGAGTTATAAGTTTGATCTCCCACCCCACATGCCGTATTAAAAAAATTAAAAAATAAAAAGGTAAAAACCTCCCCAAGCTCAATAATTCAATAGATTTATACAAAATTAAGTTTAATTGATGAACAAAATTGATAATTACATAACTCCACCAAAATTTATAAATTTCAATTAAAATCTAGCTCTAACATTGTTGATATCTAATCCTATATCACATGTATGCTTTACCATTCATTAAACGCATGCGATAATAATTTTTTCTACGATACTTCAAATGAATACCCATTGAAAGGTGAAAATTGGTACACTTTGCCATATTCAAGGTAAATATTAATATTTTCACTAAATTTTAAGTTACTAATATTATAGATAGAAACACCAACCTGAATATAGTTCAATTAGATAAAGTATATATCATCAACCAAAATTCCAAAGGTTGAATGTCCATTTATTGAACTTAAAAAAAAATATATATATATATAATAGATAGAATCATAAAACTCCCATTCTTTTCTCCACAAATTGTTGTGATGTTCTGAATTTAAATTATATTTGGAAGTGAGGTCTCATTGTCTGGGTGGTGTAGCTGGTCATCACGCTAGTCTCACACACTAGAGGTCCCCGGTTCGAACCCGGGCTCAGACATAATCTATTTACCTTACAGATCAAATGTAAAAGAAATAATTTTTAAAAATGGCATTTTAGTGCAATCAATTTAACACAAGGAATGCCCAAAGCAAGTAAACTGTGGAGTCCCACCCCTCTAGACGTCCATTTTTGCCGTTTTTTTTTTAAATACCAAATATATACTTCAACCAGTGCATTTGAAGTATGTCTTTATGATATAATAGAGATTATTGCAATGTACTAAAAAAAATGAAAACAAAAAAGAAAGAGTTTATTGCTAAATTAAAATTTGTAATCGGCTGTGAAACACCCTCCAATCGAAGAACAATTGCAACAACAATTCCTCCATAAATTTGGGATTTTAATATTTGAGTATTCCAATTATTAGTCTGATAAAATCTAATGAAGGAAAAAGAAGAAGGGAAGGTAATTGTGCTGCCGACAGAAATTACCATTAAAATTGTGCGAATGATGCGACGAAGAAAAGAATATTTTAATACAACATTTGTCACCGGACCGCGTTTTGCATTTGGGAAAGGAAAATTGCAATCATTCGTGGGTTTCTAACTTTAACTTTTGGGTGTACAAACAAATATATGGAAATTAAGAAAATTACCAATTTGATTTGAGTCAAATTTGGACATCGTTTTATTTTATATCTCTCTCAGTTGGTTATTGTACGAGAGTTTGTGTGTGAAGCAAAATATGCGATGGGCATAGACCAAAAGAAGAAGCTCAAGAATCTCATAGACGCTCTCAAAGACAAGGCCTCCATAATCAAAGCCACCTTCTCCACTCATCGCCGTTCCTCTTCCATAAAACTCGCCGTCGTCCGCGCCACCACTCACGACCCCTCAAACCCCCCTTCCGACCGCCGCCTCGCCGCCGTATTAGCCCTTGGGAATGACTTTGGCCGGTCCACTGCAATCGCCTGCATCCAAACCATCATGGACCGTCTCCACACCACCTCCAGCGCCGTCGTCGCCATGAAATCGCTTTTCACTCTGCATATTGTCGTAATCCGAGGTCCGTTCGATCTCAGGGATCAGGTGGTCTTCTGCCCCTATTACGGAGGGCGGAATTTTCTCAACTTGTCCGCGTTTCGCGACGTATCGGACTCGGAGATGAGCGACTTGTCGTCTTGGGTGAGATGGTACGCGGGCGTCGTGGAGCATAACGTTATCGTCCGGAGGAGATTGGATCGGATTTTGTACTTACGGTCAGGAAATTGCAAAATCGAAGATAAACAGGGCAAGATTTCGGAACTTGATTTGTGGGGCGAATTGGATGTTCTTGTGGGTTTTGTTGAGGGAATTTGCGAATTTCCGGATTCGTTGCATCTTCAGAAGAACGAAATGGTTTACGAGGTGGTGAGATTGGTGCTGGAGAATTACAGATTGGTTCAGAGGGAGATTTCTGTCCGAGTCAGGGGAATCGGAGACAGAGCGGATAGTTTGAGTCTGGACGAGTTGACTCAATTGGTGGTCATCTTGACGCGGTTCGAAAATTGTAGAAGAAAACTGACGGTGCTGTTTGTGAACAGGGCGAAGAACGAGGATTTGTGGGAATTGGTAAAGAATACGAAGGCAAAACTGGTGGAGCAGAAGCAGATGAAAGAGGAGAAGAGGATGATCATGGTGGAGATCAGAGCGGAATCGGTCGAGTTGACTCGGTTATGGAACCCGTTTGTTGAACCGGGTCAGTTGCTGTGGGTCCCATCGGGTGACGAACCTTTGGGCCCGGCCCTGCTTCCACTGACCGTTTCAACGGTAGGATAGTTCCGAGCTTTTGTCTGTTTGAAACGAAATTCTTCGAAAGAAAATTTAAAAAATGTGAAAAAAGTTAAATGGGGGTTTTAATTTTTTTTTTCTTTTTTCTCTCTCTCTTTCATTGGGTTTAGGGTTGCACTGTTTGTAAAGTGGATTTTCAGAGTTGCTTTTTGATTGGATTGCTTTGTTTTTACAAAGTTTTGCCATAATTGAAATGTGAGTTCTGTACATAATGGTCTTTTGTCATCTTGAGTTGATCATATAATTTTTTTTATTAACAAAATAATACAATTCAAACAAAAGGTAAAAATGTCAACTTTTTAAATAAGTTGAATAATTTTTTAATTCAATAATTAAAGGGATGAGGATCAACATCAGAGCTTTCTCCATTAAACTGAAAATTGATCTTTTTTTTTTCTAGCAAAAAAAAAAAATTTGACTTTAAACTACAGAAGTTAGTTAGTTATTTAAACTATACAAGTTAGTTAAGTTATATGAGGTTGATAACAAACTAGCTTACTACTATAAGCATTACTATTTTGTTTTTAAAGAATGAAATCAATTTTTTTTAGTTCTTTTAACAATATAAAAATATTTTTAAAATCTTGGCTAAATTTTTTAACATTAAAACTTATGTATTTGTTTTTTAAATTTGATCCTACAATATTTTAAAAAGTTTGATTGGGGTAATAATAATTTATTAATGAATGAAATAGTTAATCATTATTGTCAAATGTTCCCTTGATTGTTTTTTTTTTAGCTAAAAGATTGATTTTTTTTTTCCTTTGAGATAAGATTGAAATATTTTCTATAGATGTAGTAATTTTATGACTTCTTAAAAGAATATATTTAAATTTTTTATGAGTATTCAGTGATGTCAAGACTCCCATTCAAATACTTAGGAAGCCTTTATTTTTTTATTTTTTTATTTAAGGTAGTCAATATATTTTAGCACTAGAAAATGTGCAAGTATAATCAAGTTGGAGAATTTAAGGATTTAGAAAAGGGAAGAGATAAAGGAAAAGTTCAAATAATTTGAACAAGTCAAGCCTTTCTCTTTCTAACATGAGCGTCACCTCTACGAACGTTGACAAGTCCAAAAACAATGAAAATTAGAGACAATTGGGCCGTCGCTAAATTATATTATTAGGTAATATTATTTGAATTAATATATAGTTTAGATTATATTATTTAAATTACATTTCCTATTTGAATTATAATTATAATTCAATGAAATCTTATTTATTATATTTTTTATTTGAAGTAAATGAAGATTGGAAACCTTAACTAATTCAACTATTTTAGATTGACAAACATGTGAATAAGTTAAAAAAACAAGAATCTTCTTCTTTTTTGTATTATTTTTTTTTTTTAAATTTTTAAGAACAACAAATGTGAGGGTGTGTGGATTTGAACTCCCAAACGGAAGAAAATGAGTTATATGACTTTACGCTTTTGGTATTATATTATTTATTTAATGCAATATATATTTACATAAAATTGAGAAACATAGTCGTAAATCTCCAAAAAGAGGGTGGTTTTGAATCTCAACCTCACATGTTCTATTAGAATAAATTATAAATATTTTTGTGAAAATTATAATCATAAATAGAAAGGATAACACATTAAATATGTGCTCGGTAAAAAAAACACATTTAATAGGTCAAAAGATTAATTAAAATTCATTTAAAGGGAAATAACTAAAAGGATGGTTGCTTTTATAAAGAAAAAACGTATGTAATATTTATTAGAGAATTAGGTATTAGCGCATGTGAATAATCATAATGGCAAATTAAGTAATAAAAGTGACAAATAAAAAATGACAATTTAATTAATGTGATGTGTGTCCAATTTTGGTTATTTTTAATTATATGTTTATTATATGTGAAGGTGCAATGTTTATATAATTGCATATAAACATCGTTATGTATTCACTAAAAGAGGAAGTTGAAAGAAACAAAACATGGTAAAAGTTGAAATACTGATTAATGTTACAATTTTTTAGTCAAAAGAGATAGTTTGGTCAAATGTGAGACAAATATGGTAAAAATAAACAGAAAAAACTTATTTACACAAAGAGCAGCTCTCTGCCATCACAAGTCTTTTGATAGAAGAGAATCAACTAGCATCAAATTTGGTCTATCAAAAAGTTCACTTATGGCAATTGGTCCAATTTGAGAGAGACATCCTTGTTATACGTCTTTTCTTCTTCTTTTTTTAGGCAAAACAAAACCAGAAATTAAGACAACATATATAGACGTCGAGAGGCTAAATGGCTTATCATCTTCCAAGGCCATTCTCGGGCCATGGCCATGCATTTTGTTCTTGCTGCAATTGAGCTCTCATCGCAAAAAAGATGCATGGTTCCATTACATTCTTTTTTCGTAAAATTAAAGAAAGTTTGGAGGCGATATCGAAACTTTTGCATTTGAAACGATCGTCCCTATTTTTGAGAGGTCCTCCCATTCGTAATAGAAAAGGTTGAAGATTCAGAAGGTCAACTAGATTGGATAGATTCCAACTTCCATAGTTAGCCTCAGCCCCTCCCTCATCATTGTAGCTTCAGCTTCATCAACTGTCAATGCATTCTCCCAATTTTAATCGCAGCACCTAAAACTCCTATGTGATCTCCAATAATTATCCCAAAACTAAACCTTTCTAAGCCAGCTTATGATGTAGCTAGGTAGGTATCCCTTCGACCTTGTTATAAGTTATTTTTTTTTTTTATATTTAGTTGGTATTTTACTATTCAAAAGCTGTTAGTATCGTCAAACATATATTTACTCATTTTATTGATAATAAATTGGACAAATTTAATCCAAATTAAATTTAGTAAAATCATGAACCAATACAACCCATAAAAGTTCAATTTATTTAAATTCAACTCAAATAAACTTGCTTACTAAACCCATATATTAAGGTTAGACTAATTAAATTTTTTGGGTCATCAAACTTTTTGGACACCTCTACAAACAACAGCACGAGGCAACCAACAACAAAGAATACTCTCGTACATCCAATCCAAAGAAAAACAAACAGCCTTAACCCAAGCTAACCCAAGTTTTTGGCTTAAGTGAAGTTGACCCATTATTTAATTTGTATGTTGACATAAATATGACATAATTGATCAAGGTTCCAATCTTGTTAACAAGAAACATATATGCCCACAAGTTGTCTAATTTCGAAATTGGAGACCCAAATCTAAACTAACCCATCAACAAATTGGGCTAGACTGGACCTACATATAAGAAATATGAGCTTTTAGACCAGATCTAAATGCTTCATAAATAGTCACCCAAAAGCCCAAAAGGTAATGCAGAGAATCCATACCTTTTTCTTTTAATTTATTAGGTAGAACGAGTGGAAAGGATTTGAATGCAAGATTAATTTGTCAATTACTATTAAGCTAAGTTCATTAGAGCATTTTTCATACCATCACTTATTATTTGTCCAACACAATGCATTTAAGATATAGTATGGACGTATGAAATAAAATAATATATCACTTGATGATGTGTCAAAGTCTGAATTAAAGGAGTAAGTATTAGTACTAGAAAAACTTCCCTACATTATGAGTGACATACCATCGAACAACCCAACAAGCTAACTAACATGAACTATAAGTTTAAACTTAATTGTCGTAACTATAGCTCAATTCCCGATTGGACAATATATTTCTTACCTCCCTGAAAATTAAAAGTTAAAATCTTCTCCTATTTATTAAAAAAAGAAATTTAAAGCTTAGTTTAACAGTTAAAGCTATTTTTTTTTTTTTTTGGAGGAAACGGTTAAGCTATTTGTAAGGTTACATATCCCACTAGTCATTGAGGGCTTGGCCACTTCCGTCTACCTGCAGTAGTGCTTTCTCAGCCTGAAATTGAATTAAAATAATTGTTTACCTCTAATTTACCCAATCGGTTTTGACTGTGATGATGATTAATATTCTTGTTTGAAGTGCAGTCCCACCAAATTAAATATCATCCCACTCCAAATGCCTTTCTACCTATTTCTTCATAAATAAACATGACATGGTGCATATATAACTTATTCAACATTTTATGTCAGTATTAGGCATATATTATCCATCAGAAGGTTGAAAATTGAATTTCCAACTCCCAGATAGTGTTGACTCAAAGAAAATAAAAATAGAAAGAACATAAAAAAATAGGATAAATATCGAAAAAGTATCTACGTCAATGTTGACCACTACCTTTAATAGTGGTAATCATAAGATAGATCCTCACAGATCTAAATATTTTAGTAGGCTAGTATAATCTCAAAATTACCCAAAATGGATAAGGACTAAAAATTAATTCAACAATAACTATGAAATATTCTCAATACATGATAATTAAAAAATAGAAAACAAAAAGAATAAAAGGCATAATCAATCAATTAATTATCTTCCAGGATTTATTCCACACCCTGAAATTAAATTTTAAGTTAGAAGAAGCTTCTCATCTTTCCGAGGACTTGACCAGTTGTCTACATGCATTTGTGCTTTCTCAGCCTGAAAATCGAAACAAATAAATCTGATGATAACACAGGATTCTAAGAACAGTAATTAAGTCAAAGTAACTTGGCATTGGAGTACAGCATTAATTAACTTCTTACCTCTTTTTCCCAATCAGTTCTGATCGTAATGATGATTAATATTATTGTCTGAAGTGCAGTCCCACCATATAGCATTCCAGCCCAGATACCCTGTAACATACATATATATATAGTAAAGAATAATATGACCCAATTAAATATACATATTAAGAGAAAACCAATGGGATTAATCATAAGGATAACAGGATTTACCGAAACTCCAGAGTGGAAAACCCATTCCATAATGAAACCAAGAGGGAGACCAATTATATAATAGCATCCAATATTTATGTATGCAACCCATGATTGCCAACCTGATCCAACTGCCACTCCTGCGTTCATTTAGCACACCATACAATTTTTTGTTTCTTATAACCTTTGTTTTTGGTATCCCAAATTCATCAATTATATTGTGATTTTATGAACCTGAAAGAACGGGTTGGATGCTGTTTAACAGAATGGTGATGGCCAGCAAGTTTGAGAGTGAATCCACAGCTTCCACCACACTGCTGCTGCTTGTGAAGATTAAGGCTATCTTGTCATGAAATGTCATTATAACGACACATATTACAACTCCAATCAGTATCGACTGCGCTACCGATACAATTGTTGCGAATTTTGCACCTTTTCCGTTCCCAGCTCCCAGCTCATTTGCAACTCTTACCCTGTTATATTGAATCATTCACATATTCAAGCTGTAATAATTTTCATATGACTTTAATTTCTTTTGGTACCTACCTATATGACTTTGGTCATCTAAAGTGAAACATAAACAATAATCTCATATCTTTTCTACCTTTTACAGAAATAAAATATGGTAGGAAGAAAAGCATACCCGATTCCAGCAAAGAATGCTATAGGAATCATCATCTCCCATCCATTGATGCTCATGCTGCAAGATCGAGCATTTGATACACAAATTAATGAGAACAACCGTTAAGTCCGTTTACCAATCAGCAACCATCGTTTGCATTTCTCTCTAAGAACTAAGAAATAGAAATACAAAAATTATAAAAGATAAATAAATAATAAATTGTCAAATATTTAATGGTACTAATGGAGGGAGTTCTTCGGGAGCCAATTTTTTTCTTTTTCTTCTTTATCTAAAAAGGCTGGAATTGCCCCACAACTATTTATGTACCACTCCACTAGCCATTATCGGGAAATATTAATTAAGCATACCATACTGATAATGCATCTACGGCTGTCGTGGCATTTTCCAAATTTCCTGTCATTAATACGAGGATTCGGAAGTACCAATTCTCCAAGCTGCGAACACAATTATTGAAGGAAAAAATTAGTATGATTATGAGCCGATCAAATATTGTTGTTAGTTGAGCTTACCTGCCTGTATGAATAAAAAGAAATAAATGAAATTGCACATTTGTCAAACTTGTTATGAATGGGGCAGGTGAGAACCAAACCAAAAGTTTTCCATAGAAGCAATTTCAAAGTGTCTAAATTAAATAAATCCGTTCCAATTAAATTAAAGAAAAAAAAATTACCAAAGCATGAGACCAGCAGCAGTAGAGAGTTTGAGGAATTCCCAGAGGCCGTGAAAGGCTTGAATGGAGAATCCGGTCCATGTCAAAGGGCACCAACCACCAACGGTGTAGAAATACAATCCAAAACCAAGAACCCACCAAGACACGTCCAGAGCTATGGCTGCACCAATCACCCCAAGTTCCCATTCATAAATCAGAACCCAGCTCGAAACAACATTCACAATCAACCCCACCAACGACACCCAAGCGATGACCATCGTCTTATGCTGGCACTGCAAGAATGTCTGCAGCGGAAACTGAAAGGCGAAGCTGAAGTGAAGTGGTATCAGCCAAATGGCCACCACCCCCGATTCCTCCGCCACGTCGTCCTCATGGCCGAGCAGTTTCAAAACGGGAGTGGTGTAAACGTAGAAAGGAAGCAGCAAAAAGCAACACAAAAACAGCACTATCCATGAGCGCTGCAAGTATATTCCCAACATGTGGTACTTTTTTGCTCCGTACGCCTGCCCACATAGCGTCTCCAACGCACTCGCCATCCCCAGCTGAAACAAATAACAATTTCAAGATTTATAATACAAGTGAGATACTTCTCTGGTCCTCCAACGTGAATATTGATAGCGGTAAGACGTACCAGGAGGCCAAAATTGAAACCCACAATGACGGTGTTGGCGATCGAAATGGAAGCGAGCTGCACATCGCCGAGATGACCGGCGAAAACTTGGGTGATTACGTTCATGGTGAAGGTAGCCACACGGGCAAATATGGTTGGCCCCACGATCACCCATAGCTGCTGGGTCTCCCTCCATAATTTTGACCAAAAATCTTGTGATCTCCATTTTCCATCTTCGTCTTCATTTGAGAGAAGTGGCTGGTTGTGATCGCTCTCCATATCTCTCACAAAAAAGAAGCAATATGGCTACCCTTCAGTCTTCACGAGACAGGCCGCACATCTACAATACATAACAATAATCCACTCTGATATATCCATATATATAGTATTACCTTTTCAACAACTCCTCTATAAAAATTTATCTGGTTATTACTATTTTAGAGTGCTCAATTTTACATAAAACATTCCAATTTTGGTCATACTAGACAAAAGTTTTAAAATTTATTAAATTAAAATTTGATTTATTGTCAAACTATTGTTAATTTATTAATATTAATATTCAAATGTTTCATCTTAAAATTAGTTCACTCCAAGAGGAGTAATACATGTATATTATAAATCAGTATAAGATCTCTTTTTTTTCAATATGGAATCCTTAACATGTCCCTCAAGATCGTAGTTCTTTTTGCTCATCGATCTTGGCTAAATCCTATTTTTCTGGACCGCTTGCACATTTGAGCGTTTGAGCTTTGATACCATAATAATATCCATAGGTTTTATCTCAAAACCAATTGAATATGAGAGGAGTAGTCCATATCTATTATAAACCATTGTAAGGTTACTTTTGTTTTCAAGGTAAGATACTTAAACAATTAATATATCTAAATACATGCACATATACTTTTCATAAGAAACTGAATCCTCCAGGTGTAACAATAAAATATCTTCTTTTTCAAGTTGTACGCACATTATGTCCATAGAACAATAATTTACTCATGTGAACTTTTTGTTTACAATTGTTGACATATTATTTTACAAAAATGAAAAATTTTAATACATGGTAAAATTTAAAATTCGAAGAGATTAAAAGACAAAGTTAAAATTATCAAAAGGAATGAACTGATGGATACATTTACCAGAAAACGTATTATTCCACCGGATATATGAGTATTGGGAATTTTTAGGTACACCAAATATAGTTTTTTAGTTGGAAAGAGCAATTTTTTCAACCTGAAAGTAGATCATACAAGTTCCCATTTTCCAGTGTACCTAACAGTCTTGAAACATTTTGTATATGAGAATGGGAATGTGATTGGGATATGTCTTTAAGGACCACATTTCATAACATTTTCTAATCCCTTACAGCTCGTGGTTAGTTTTAATTTAATAAATATTCTCTTCTACGCTTTTCAATTAATATTTGATTGATTAGTCATGTGATAATACTTACTGTTTTACTCATTTTTGTTATGTAATGCAAATGATTAGTACCATTGCCTTCTCTTTTCTGCTCTGCTTAGCTTATTCATTTCATTTATTCCTTTCACACCCCAAACCACGTGATGCGTCACGTGTTATCCTATAATTTAAGAAGTTAATTAGTTGCTTAAAGTTGGAGAAAATTTTAATGAATAATATACGAAAAGTTACCCTTTTGGACCGTGGGTTTTCAGCTATAGCCTATAGGATGGTTTGGTCCATAAGTTTTAAAAGTGTACATTTCTGCCCATGAGTTTTGAAAAACAGGTTTACATGGCCCCTACAATAACAGTCTCTTACGACTCCAACGAAAATATGACAGGGTTTAGGGTGGAAATCAACCGATCGTTTTTTTTTTTTTTAGTTTTAGTTTTTAACATTTTCAGAATAAATGAAAAACATTTTTAGAGCAGTAGCATGATCAAATCATATAGCTTAACAAAATTGTAGAAATAGATTTTTGAGGTCTATAGACCGATATAGAGTATTGGGCAGCCATTACTTTGACAATGTTTCACATAGCGGTGTTCCTCATATGAGGATGAATCGTAGTGTCGTATTGGACCTTATTGTGGTTATACTTGAAATCAAAATCGCTGTATTCATAATATGCTAGATGGTTATCACATAATGGAGTGAAAAATGAACACCGCAATCTTAAACTATATTATGGTGTTATCCAAAGAAAAAATATCAATGTAACATGATCAAATGAAAAAACACGGTAACGTTATTTTAAGATCGCGAATTTTTATCCATCTAATTGCATTATTACACACGATGACCCTATAACATCAGTCTAATCATCTTTCCATATAAAAAGAACGAAACAGATCTCTATGAAAACACTCAAAGGGAATCATGCACAATTTTAAATTTGGTCCTACACAATTTCTCAATTCTCAATTTGTTGCTCCATTAGATCGAATACCAAACACTACTATAGTACTAAAAAAATTTCGGTTCACATCTATCGCAAATTCAATCCTTTCTGTTAGGCCCACCACCAAAAAATTATWCACTCTCTTCTCTTTTCTCTTCAATCATTCAAATAAAGAAAAAATGGTTGTTTTATACTCTTTGTTTCTTCCGTATGTTGCATAGTGCTTATTTAGAATTTAAAACTTGTGATAAAAAAAAAAACAAGGTGCGTTTAAAGCAAACCAAACTCCCATTTATTTTCTTTTCTTTGAGGTAATTTAAGCAATTTGTCATTCAAATCTCTTATACTAAGWACTATGATTTTATCCGTATTAGATATAACCTTCACGATTTTGTTTTTGGTTTCACATCAATTTTCTCATACCAAAGAAAATAATTGTCGTCTCTTATGTATCATGGATTATACTCTTTCCTAATCAATTTGAGACTTTGTATGCATTCATCTTACAAATCAGACAAATTTGTACCAGACCCACTCGCTTAGAGACCCATCATGGTCATCTCATGCAGGAATATTAATAAGACGAAGCTTCAKAAACATACAAAAATGAAGTAATTAAGGATATGAATATTTGTTTGAAAGTAAAGTGTAAGTACCTCTAAAATCACAGTATCTGCCAAAATAAACCCAAACGCTGCCGTGTAGTCCAGCCGATGGAACTTCAAACTTAAAACAACGATTCCCATAAATACGAGAAAGGAGTAATGAAGGTGAGAGTTGAAGTTGAATGAACCCTTTTTATTATCGAAAAATTATTTTACTGCATCCAATCTAATTCAAATTAAACAAAGTGGTCATTTTAAAATAAAAAGAAAGGTAGCAGGTCAACTAACACCAACAATTATCCTGAACTCAAATAAATAAATTATCCATTCAATTTTGTAACATTTCCTGAAATAAGCTATTGCTATTTTATCTTACAAAAAAAAAAAAATCTTTCCTTTATAGGACACTGTATTTTTTGAAAGATCCCAAATCAGAAAGATTKGATAGCAATATATTAACATTAGACGACAACTGCAATAGTCCAAAAAGAAAGATAAGTCAATAAGTCAAACAAAACAAATAAGGGATAAAAAGGTAAAATAAGGACTCTCATCCAATTAAAATAATAATACAGATTAAAGGTTAATTATTAAATGGACACCAAGACAGAAATTAAAAAAAAAATATATTATTCTTTTTCAGAAGAGTGTCGAACTAAAAACAGGATCCATTGAAAATAGTAAATATAGACCAAATCACCAAGCACTTTTTTTTTTTAAATATTCTTTTTTATCAAACTTATTCTAGAAGTATACCACTAACCAAATTATTTTAAAAAATAATGCTTGAAAAATAGACCACCTATGAATAGTCAGTAAGAGGAGAGACGACCTACAAACGTGGCGCTCCGTTGGTATCACATCTATTTTTTTTTTTTAATTCAAGAGATGATCAATTTGGCACACATTTCTGACGACAAAGTTGGTTTTTAAAAAATAAACATGTTTCTAGTCATTTCTGCACTTCTTCTTAGTGTCTCTTTCATGTTTTGAATTTTTAAAAATATCAGACATGGCACCAACGGAACGACATATTTGTTGGTCGTCTTTCCTCTTGCTGACTATTCATAAGTCGTATCTATTTTCCAAGTATTATTCTTAGAAATAGTTTGGTTAATGATGTAATTTTAGAATAAGTCGGATAGAAAACAATATTAAAGGAAAAAAAAAGTCCATATCACCCCGCGGTTTGCGTTGATCAATTCTGTGGTCTGTTAATTTCATCAATTTTTTGTGCCGCCATAAATTTTCTTATTGTTAAAATACCTATCAGATCTAAAGGGAAAACTTAAAATAAATATATTATTTTATCATATTATAAAAATTTAAAATTTTACTGAAGTAATATAATTCAAGTCAAACTCAAACACCAATATAAGACACATTAAAAAGGAGGTCATCTTTATACTACATTTAAAAAAATAAAAAATAAAATTCACATGCGATAAAAAAAATTCTCAATTTTTACAATACTGGATGAAAATTACCGTATTTAAATTCACAAGATGTGGATAATAAGAAAAAGGATAAATTACCTTAGGTCCTTGAAGTTTGGACAACAAATCGATTTCATGTACTCAGTGATAAACGTAGATGAGAATACTTTTAAAATTAAAGCTATTAATAAATAAAAAAGAGGGAAAAAAAACCTTCTCCTCTCTCTCGACCCACTGCACCTCTTGTCCTTCCCCATAAGGCTGGCCGACGCCCCCGCAAGCCCTCCTACCTCGCTGCTAAACAATCGTAAGACACTCCACCCCGAAAATACAACACTCCTTTAGAGTAACTTTTGTGCAGAGTTAAATTCCTTTTTAAGTGTTTGATGGTCGACAATTGTCAATGAGATCGTCACGAGGAGCACCCTCTTATCAAGGAGACTTGTCTCCATATTAGAGAGAGGAGTTAACAAAATCTCCTATTTAATTGGAAGAGTTGATTGACTAATTAAAAGAGTATAACAAAATAAAGAAAAAAAAATCTTGAGTGCAGTTGGTGATGTGAAAAGTTAAATCTAAAAACAAAGCCTCAATAACAAAATAGTTATATTTGTCTTTTAAAAAAAAAACCAAACAAATTGTGGATTGTAAGCTACTAATTTTAGTTCAATATAAAATATCATTTATTAACATATATGTTATAAATTATGTATAATAATTATTTTAATGTTTTATGTTCTACATGTCTAAAATGAGTTTAAAACGTGAAAAATTTCAAGGAAGAACACAGTTTTGAAAACAAATATGCCAAATAAATAAAATCAGTAAGATAATTTCCTCTCCATCGATTGAGCTTCGAAGGTGGAACATTGTTTCTAAATCTTTTCACCAAAAAAAAAAAAAAAAAAAGGTGGGTGACGAAGGTAGAATCTTTTGCCCCCTACAATGACAAAATTTATTGATTTAATACCCTCCATTCTTTTTGTTTTTTGTACAACATTAAGTTCAACATCAACAACAATAACTTGTTTTTTAAGTCTTAACCCACTAAATTAAGTTCAAGCAATACCTTCTATTTGAAGATAGTGTGTGTATATATATATATATATTTTGGATTGTATCTTATTACAATTAACTCATTCTAACCAAATCAATCAAAGCAACCTTATTCAATCTTCAAATCTACGATGAGATAAACATGAAGAATAATATACCTCAACAAGAATATGTAGTATAACCCAAAATTTTCTCAACAGCCACCACTGGATAATTAATTAAGAAACTAAAATAATAAGAGGCATACAATCACTACTCCATTTATTCTTTTCCAGGACATTTCCGTCCATTAAAATTAAAATTTTAACTGAGAAGATACTTCTCATCCTTTTTAGGGCTTGACCACCTCTCTACATGCATTTGTGCTTTCTCAGCCTGAAATCAGATCAAATAAATCGAATAAACACTCGATTCCTAGTCACAGGAATTCATTAATTTTAAGTCAAAGTAACTTGGCATTGGATTATAACATTTAACTTTTTTACCTCTTTTTCCCAGTCAGTTCTGATTGTGATGATGATTAATATTATTGTCTGAAGTGCAGTTCCACCATATAGCATTCCTGCCCAGATACCCTGTTTCAATTTTAAAAATATATAACCCAATTAGTTACATATTAAGAGAAAATCAATGGGATTAATTATAAGGATAAGGGAATTACCGAAACTCCAGAGTGGAAAACCCATTCCATAATGAAACCAAGAGGGAGACCAATTATATAATAGCATCCAATATTTATGTATGCAACCCAAGATTGCCATCCCGATCCAACCGCCACCCCTGCATTTGCATTCATATTTTATTACATATTTAATAACGCAGTTATTTTTTAAAAGAAAATTTTGTTTTTGCATTTCTCTCTCTCTTAGTTGAATTAGCGAGTAGCCAAGTTCTATCCATGATTTTATGAACCTGAAAGAACGGGTTGGACGCTGTTCAAGAGAATGGTGATGGCCAGTAGGTTGGAGAGCGTATCCACTGCTTCAACCACCCTGCTGCTGCTTGTGAAGATCAAGGCTATCTTCCCATGAAATATCATTATAATAGCACATATCACAATCCCGATCCCGGTCGACTCCGCCACCGATACAATTGTTGCAAATTTGGCGGCTTTCCCGTTCCCAGCCCCCAACTCATTTGCCACTCTCACTCTGTTAACATTCACATTTTCAAGTTAGTCAATTTGCCTCTGATTCCTAAATCTTATGTGTCTTTGATCTATCTAAAGCGAAAACCAGAAGGGTTTGTTATTTATGTTCTAGATTTATTGTGGTAAAAAGAAAAGTACCCGACGCCAGCAAAGAATGCCATAGGAATCATCATCTCCCATCCGTTGATGCTCATGCTGCACAAGTTTAGCCAACAAAATAGTATACAATAATTGTCCACCACTTTATTGAAAAAACTGTGAGAAATAATGAGAATTATGAAGAGATAAATATTAATTAATTTGGCATACCATACGGATAACGCATCCACAGCAATGGTGGCATTTTCTAGATTTCCCGTCATTAATACAAGGATCCGAAAGTACCAATTCTCCAAACTGCGCACACCCAATTATTGATGCAAAAATTAGTAAGGACAGACCCCTGCGAGTATGCTCATGTGTCTATATCAAACAGAGCAATAAATGTAATGATATTGATGGATGACCAAAATTTTGCCATACAAAAAAATAGTAAATTCTAGAATTGGTCCACAACTTTAAAGTAGAAAATATTTATAGATAGACTATTAAAAACTTAAAATTGAAGAGGGAAAAAATTACCAAAGCATGAGGCCAGCAGCAGCAGAGAGTTTGAGAAATTCCCAAAGACCATGAAAGGCTTGAATGGAGAATCCGGTCCATGTCAAAGGGCACCAACCACCAACAGTGTAGAAGTACAATCCAAAACCAAGAACCCACCAAGACAAGTCCAGAGCTATGGCTGCCCCAATCACCCCAAGTTCCCACTCATAAATCAAAACCCAGCTCGAGACAACATTCAGAATCAACCCCGCCAGCGAAACCCAAGCGATGACCAGCGTCTTCTGCTGGCACTGCAAGAACGTCTGCAACGGGAACTGAAATGCGAAGCTGAAGTGGAGGGGTATCAGCCAAATTGCCACCAGCCCCGACTCCTCCGCCACCTCGTCATCCTGGCCCAGCCACTTCAGAACCGGAGCGGCGTAGACGTAAAACGGAAGCAGCAGAAAGCAACAGAAAAACAGCACTATCCAAGAGCGCTGCAAGTATATTCCCAACATGTGGTACTTCTTTGCCCCATACGCCTGCCCGCACAGCGTCTCCAATGCACTCGCCATCCCCAACTGATCAAACAACAAAAATTAACCTTTTTGTCGCACATTGGTTATGTGTTAATAATCACACGTTGAAAACATAAGAGAAGTAACAAAGTTAATAAAGTAGTTACTATAACTAATATAGTAATACACTAATATCAACCTAAGTTAACCAATATCAGTAATATACTAATATTTATTGTCTCATTCCTTATTGGTTTTGAGATGAACAATATTTATTGTCTCATTGTTTGTTTGTTTTGAGGTGAACTTCATGAATATTGATAAGTTACGATGAAAAAAAACGTACCAAGAGGCCAAAATTGAAACCCACAATAACAGTGTTGGCGATGGAAATGGAAGCGAGCTGCACATCGCCGAGATGACCAGCAAAAACTTGGGTGATTACGTTCATGGAGTAGTTAGCGACGCGGGCGAATATTGTAGGCCCCACGATTGCCCATAGCTGCTGAGTTTCCACCCATACCTTTGAGTACTTTGATCTCCCATTTTCATCATCTCCTCCATTATTACTAGTCGAGATCAGCAGCGGACGGTTGAGATCCGCCATCTGGAAAACAAGAGCCCAGCCAGTGTAAGGAGTAGATCATAGAACAATCATGTTAATATTAAGGGTGAATGTTCTAAAATCAAAAAACACTATGCCTATGCTTATGAAAAATCATTCTATACAGCATATAAGGAGAACAGAGTATGTACAGTAATATTATAAGTTATCTCTTTTTTACACCCATCCTTCCTCGCACGTGAATATATTTTGTCGTGTAATTTAAGAAATGAATTACTAGCTTGAAGTTCATTTTTTTTTTTTTTTTTAGTTTTTTTAGTATAAAATGCCTAAAGATTGAAGATATATAAATGTCAATTATGATGAATTATGTTTGCTTGAACGTAGCTTAAAATCCCTTAAAAGTTTAATTAAACTTTACTAGTAATAATTTTTAACTATATTAAATTTGGTTCTAACCATTATTAAATTTAAGGTTGTGAATTATATGTCAATTACTCGAGCGGTTGAGCTTTAGCCTAGCTTAAAGTTCAATTAAACTTTACTAATAATCATTTCTAACCATATTAAATGTAGCTCTAACCACCATTAATTCTTTGACGAAATAAGAGAGATAAACGCAGAAAAAAACATTAAACTCTTATTCTTATTACATGTTACAACGTGATTGGACGTTAAATATACTCCTTTTGAGGTATTTTTAAGTTACTGCAAACTTTATTAAAAGTTTATTAATTAATTACGCACACAATTCAAAGAATAATAGTAAATAAATAAGCAAAAAATGTGAATGTGAGCTGGATGTTATTTCTATTAAAAAAATTAGAAAACAAAACATTAATCTCACTTTTATATTTGATAGTTTTACCAAAATGAGTTTAGTCTAGTGGCAGTTGAATGTCTTATTTAATATTTATTTTATTAAATAGGAAATCAATATGAGTAGAAAATTTTATCTTTTGTACATTTGCACAGCAGCCAACAGAGCACATAACTCGACGGTGTTAAAAAAAACAGTATTAAAATTATTGATAATGATCATATTAATTTTAAATTATATATTTTAAATGGAAATCTCAATGAACTAACAATTACTATAAAATCTCTATTTCTATACAATAATAATAACAAGTACCTGTAGAAGCGGTATCTGTCAAACCGTAACGTCCGCTCGCCGTCGTTGAGTTGGCTTCCCGACGTCCAAACAAATGGAAGTTCCGACGAAGCTTTGGATTCCGAAACCGAAGAACAAATCGGAGAGGCGAGAGAAAGAAGAGGGAGAATAATTTCGCTATGTCGGAAAGTAATCCCTAAAATAATTAATACATTTCTACGAATTTAAAGAACTTGTAATTCGAAATTGCGGAAATTAAAAAAGAAGGTATAAATTCCAAGGCCTCTATATAATTATCTTCTGTTTATTCAAGACGAATTCAAAACGAATTTGAATGTAGTCCTGAATTTCAGAAAGCGTACATATGATCTAAGAATTCATAAATGTTAGTTACTCACGTGTGATTGCAATAATGTGGAGGGTTTGAATCTGATTGTTTGGGTAATCGGTGAGGGGTTTAGACACGACTGTGAGTAATTACAATATACATTTTTTTTGAATTGGGTTGGGTTAGCTTAGTCATGGGTGTGAAAGAGATGTTTCAACACTTGTACACCCATGTGGCAACTGCTAATGAGATTTCAACTTATTTTAAATAACAAAAAAACAACTACTTTGACACTGCAGAAACTCCCAAAACAGGATCCAATGCCCACGCGGGAGCCGGGAGGGATCCATGAAAACCCAAAAATGCATTTTTCTTTTCTGTCCTCGATTTCCTTATTACCATTTTACCCCTAAGCTGTTAAAAGAACTATTTCTAGTTCAATAAAAATTCAACTTGGGTGAGCCCAACCCGTATTTGGGGTGTGGGCTTTACCCTACTGTTTAAGCCCGGCCCACCACAACCCAATCTCCCCACCTGCGGGGCCCAGCATAAGCAAACCCCCTTTTCTTCCGGTCCTCTTTTTCTTTCTCCACCTGCAGTGAGCCTTCATCCTCCTCTATTGTTTAAATAAATCTTCGAATTATTAGTAATTCAGAATTAAAATAAGATCAGTTTATAAAATTAAAATTTTACAATTAATTTTTCTACATAAACCTATTTAGTTTTTACTTTATAATTATACTTATAAATTATGATAAAATATTTTTAGGTGTGATATTATTGATCAAATTAAAATTGTAATTCAAATTATATTAGATAACATTTTTTTAACTGAAAAAATAAAATCTTATATTTCTATTAAAAATAGTAATAATATTTTAAGGTGATTTTCCTGATATTATCATCATCATACTAGTAATTTAGTCAAATTAAAACAATATAAGTACATGTCAAGACAGATATATGATCTACCAAAATTTTGAAAATTCAAATGTCACTGGACAAGTTGTTGAGTTTTTATATATGTGTGGAATATTTTATATTTAACTCATATATATATAAAACAAAAGATATCAATTTAAATGAAACAAAAACACAATAATTAATTTAACATAATTAAATATTTCATAAAACTTTCTAAAATCCACATCATCCACGCCTGCTTTTTAAACTTAGATTTATCCAAAGCTGCACTTCTTTTAATTTTTTTTTTCTTAATTAAATTCTAAACTAGAGTCTGTTAATATTCATGAGGCCACCTCTCAAAATTAATAGACAATAAGAGATAGTGACTCTTTTGAACTTATCGATCTCAGTTGAATCCTATTTTTTTTTAATTGAATGTTCGTATGAGCTTGTTAGACTTTAATATCATTCTATAAGATTTCATTTGTATAGTCAACGATACCATATAAACATTTTGTTGGGTAGTTTTGAATTAGCACGTGCCCGAAGCTGCAATTTGGGTTTGGTCCCCTCCTCCAACTATTATTGTTATTGCTATTATAATTCAACTTTTGTTGGTGTGTTTCCGGCCCGCCAATTAAACGTCCCAGTCGCAGTGCTTTCTAGACAAATTTTCCAACTTGGGTCTGCGTGGGAACTGGAAATTAACCAGCACAACGCAGGCTCTAGCGGCAACCATAACCAAATTAATAATCGAAGGAGGACACTCCATTATTGCTTTCCATGAAAAGTAACGTATCTCTCACCTCACCCTTTTCTATTTCTAAATTATTTCCCTTGGACTTTATAACTCTTTTAAATAATACATGCCTCTCACACCCACAATAATTTAACTGTTTCATTCATACAGTACACCTATGCCATTGACAACATCTCGCCACTCCCAACTTTGACACCAAAATGTCCCAACTAAATAAAACGCTTTGCCTCAAGGAACAACCAAATTTTAAAGCTGAAGAACATGAATAGTACCATTTTTATAGTACCATAAATGTAGACTATGCAGCATCTAAACTTCTAACGTGAAGAACATGAATAAATATCTTTACTATTGAATTAAAATTATTTTTAAAAATGTATTGTGACTATATCTAATTATTAAAAGTTTAATTCAACGTGAATCACCTATATTAGGTTTGGTGATTCGTATCATGTTAAATTAATATAAATAAATTAGTCAACGATACAATTAAATAATAGCAACTAATAATATATGTGCATAATGAAAAGACAGAGAAGCATTTTCATTTACAATCCCTTATTTCTATGTATAAAACACCAACATGGCACATCATTATCTTCCTAAGCACTGATAAAGCGACGGAGAGGGAATGTAAATGGTCTCTTGGGCTTAAATCAAGTTAGGTTTTAATATGGATGTAAATGTCAATTTTCAATTTTATTAAAGTCTTGTATGAATTCGTAATATTATAAATTCGTTGATGGATATTATTTAATAATATGATTATCAGGTATACTTATACAAAATCATACCTAAAAAATCACAAGTACTCCAACTATCAAAGAGGAAACTTAATTGGTAGTTTAAAGAAAATGAAGAAATTTTAAGAGAATGCCATAACTTTTCATTTCATTGCATATGAGATGATGAATAAAGAGCCAAACATGATGTTTAGACTTATCTACTTAATTATGATTAATATATTTGGTGGAGGATTTTTTAGATAAAAAAAGAAGTTGACTAATCAAACTAAATATAATTGAGAAAATAAAAATTTTATGCCATCTTGGTCAAAAGTAGCTTTTGAATAATTGGTGGGAAATCATATTATCAATAATTGTGGAGCGGCATAGTTTAATATTCAAAATGTGCATCTTTATTCTAATAATATTATTTTAGAACCTATTTTAAATCCACTGTCATGAACAGCCTATTCTCGTATGGGTTGATGCAAGAATTTTTTCCTTCAAGATTTCTCAAATTTACATCCATCTTCAATAATAAAAAGGGATGGACAAACCTGTAAAATAGAAAAGTTACATAATGGCATGGTACTAGCCACACACACTCCTACTTAAGTTGAAATTGGAGTTTTAGATTAAGCATAGAGTAGAGTCTCAATTATGATATTTGTGATATTAGATGTCGTTTCTATTGAAATTATTACACTTCTTATCAAGTTACCAATAAATTGTAATGTCATTTTGGAGATCCCAAATCATAATGAAATCATAATTCTATTTTAAATTTATCTGGATTAATCTAATAGTTATTTATAGCTTCCAAAATGGCTACATCACTATTTAGTACGTTGTGAGGCCTCATCCTACAATTCTAGCAGTGGATATGGCCACCATGATAGTAGTATCAAATTTTGTTCCTAATATTTAATTTACTGTTTATCACTTCGACAATAGGTAAAAGTTTTTTTTAACTAGTATTTAAAATATTGTAAAATTTATAAAAGTAAAATAATAAATCGATTAATTAATTATATGTTAAAAAAATTATAAATCGAAAAATCCTCAATACTAGAATTTTCTCATAATAGTCTCCATCACCCGAACAAAAGGACTGTCCCTCCCTGATAGAAATCCAGGCCGATCGCCCACATGGCCGACAAATTCTGCAAAGGCCTTCCCATTTTGCTTCGAATTCATTAATCAATTATAAACAAAATGTAAATATTTCAATATTTTATACTTTTTGAGTGTTAATCAATTCAAACTTTCAACTTTGTTGAAAATTTAAATCCTTTACTTAAAGATTTCTTTTATTTTTATTTTTTATGATTTGTGTCCATATGCTATGGGTGTACTTATAGCTGGAAAACTACTTTTAAGGTCTTTCATTATTCTAGTTGTGTTAGATATTTGCTTAATTTCCTAAGTTATATTTGGGTATTTTCTTGCAAATTTAAGGATTTTATGGACAAGTTTAAGTATCTTTGTGGTTGAGTTTGAAAAGTTGTTAAGGAGTATTAATAGACTATTCCGATGTAATTTGACACATAAAATTAAATTTGTCTATCAACAAAATTGGACAAGCCTTATTAACAAAATCTATTTCTTTTAAGTTGCATGAACATGTTCTAGTACACAGTGTCCAAATATGTTAAACAAGAATATAATTTGATGATAATTAAGTCACTTTTTATTAATAAATTATGTAAAAGAAAAATCTAGGGAAGAACTTAATCGAGAATTTTTAATATACCATGTCTAAATTTGAGGATTTAAAAACGACTAAGAACTAAATTAAAAATTAAAATTAAAACAATTTTTACAAATGGTATTCGACATATTTAGCGTAAAAAAATATTAAAGAGAGTCCTTTGACTTTTGCATTAATAGATTAAGAGATTTTTTTTCTTTTAGTATAATAATATAGAGTAGAGATTTAAATTCTACCTCACAATTAATTGAATCATATTAAAATCTACCAATTATAAAAAAGTTGAAGTTGGATAACGAAGAACTAAGTAAAAGTAATAATAGCTAATTATATATATCTCAAATTAAGAAATTAAGAGTTCGAATCCTTTTTTCGTATTATACTAAAATAATAATAATAATAAATAAATAAAGTGTTTCAGTGTTTCGGGTTGAATAAATCTTGAACTAGATTTGGTCCCCTCCCATCCCACATGCAACCGGCCACGTCAATTATATTATTATTATTATTTTAATAGAATTAAGTTTCCCCTGTTTGCTTCCCGTGCTTTATCCATTTTCGTGTCGATAGATAAGGATTTATTTTTGTATGGATCACTGTTTAAAAGTTGACAGTTAATTGTTAAAAAAATTACTACTGTTTATCTATTTTTCTCTTTCATTTATTAATTTTACCACAAGATGAAATATTTACTAATTAACAACTAAATATTTTTTATTTATTAATTAAGTTTTATATGTCACGTGTGTTACGACTCATTCATTTCAGATAAAAAATTTCAGATTAATTGAGTTTGTAGAGATTATTTTCAATCAGATAACTTCGAATTTAGGCCGTTCCTATATGTTATACTAAATAAAAATTAACAATATCCAATAAAAAAGACGCTTAATCGTCACGAGTATAGTTTTGATACATTTGACAGTAATTGATATATATCTCTAATTAAAAGGTTGTGAATTTGATCCCTAATCCAGATGGTATACTAATAAATAAATAAATAAATAAAAAATACACTTAGTCGGTGGGAAGTGGGAACCAACACCGTTTTCGTCGAGATACAAACCCTACTTGATTTGTGTGGGTTGTGGAATGGGGATGTGGCCATTTATTTTTCCTCCGTAGAATGTGGATCCGTTTTTTTTATATGATTTTTTTTGTGAATAAAGCATTTATTATATTTATAAATAAAGTAATAGCTTTTGAATTTTACGGTATAATATTTGAAATTTATATATTTATTTTTTTCTAATATATTAAATAAAAAATATAATTGATATATCATCAACATTCATCATATCAAATATATCTTTTTTTATTTTTTATTTATTTGAAAAGATCGTATCAAATATATCATTAATATATTAGTACTTATAATCAAGTATTATTGATTCCTTCCATATATATCAAATTAGGTATATCAATGCATGTCAATCTTTATATTAGGTATAAAATAGATCTATTTAAGTCTTAAAAGGCAAACATTTCATCTAAAATATGAAAATAATCAAACTCAATTTAGTAATATATCATGTATATCATTAATATATCAATATTCATATAGGTATATTGGTACTTATCACAATCAAATATATCAACGCTAGATTCAAATCAATTATTGTTTAAATTTAAATTATGTGAAGATTTTTGCTTTCTTCTCCATGAGTTAGGTCTCTGGATTTTGCTTTTTTATTTTTTTTTCCCAAAATCTAAAAGTTGTTGCTACTTCTGCAAACTCCTATTAATTTTCTTTTTACTACTTTTGCAAGCACCCTTTTATTTTTTTAATTAAAAAATATTCTGATTAACTTTTTTTTTAATTTTATTAATGTTATTGTGAGGTATTCAATCCTCATCCTGGATTACAATATGGCTTTCAGAAATCAGTGCAAATAAAATAGTAGTCTCCAGTCTCCACACTGACACTCCACTGCTAAAAAATGGTAAACAAATACAATCAAAGATTAAAAGAAAAAACATTTTCAAAACTGGGTAATTCTCAATAAATAAATAAAAAAATAAAAAAAAAGAAGGAGACCACTGCATAACAATTTCCAAAATTTATTCCATTCCACCATCTAAAATTTAAATAATAAAAAAAAAAGAAAAAAGAAAAAATTAGGCGAGTAGAGGCTTCTCGTTTTCCTCAGGGCTAGACCAATCTTCTACGTTCTTGAGTGCATTTTGAGCCTGAAATTCAAGTCAATAAAATTGTACAATGAATGATTCTGTTCATGTTATATTTGGAGTTGAAATTTGACATTAACATTAAGTACCTCTTGTTCCCAGTTAGTTCTCATGGTAATAATCACTAATATTATTGTTTGAATTGCAGTGCCACCAAATATCATCCCACCCCAAATGCCCTGTGGGATAGACACACGTGTCAGTAACATTTAATACCACTATACCATATACACATGATTGAATTTTGATATTTAATTTATTTTTGTTATGAAGTGAAGATGCATACCAAAACACCAGAGTGGAAAACCCATTCCATGACGAAACCGAGAGGGAGACCAATGAGATAATAGCACCCAATATTTATGTATGCCACCCAAGATTGCCAACCTGATCCAACCGCCACTCCTGCGTTCATTCAACACACCATACCATTTCATTTTCTTTCAAAACGGCTCAAAATTAGTTTATTTATTTTGGATTAATTTATTTTTAAGAACCTGAAAGAACGGGTTGGATGCTGTTTAACAGAATGGTGATGGCCAGCAAGTTTGAGAGTGAATCCACAGCTTCCACCACACTGCTGCTGCT